CTCTTGCAGCACTTGAATTTCTTTGGAGACCTCTGCTGACTCACCTGACTTCAGAGAACAAACTGAGCTGGGATACTAAGAGGTATGGCTGCATCCCATTATTCTAATACAGTGATGGGACAAGTATTACCAGCGTCAGCCATTGCCAGCCTATTTCTAGACTGAACAATTCCTCTACCAGTTACTAGTTTTAATACGCAACAAGGCTTAATATAAACAAACAAAAAGTTACAATCAGAACATGGTGCTGGCACAATCCCTGGTACCCACGCTCGATACAACCATGTTTTTGATTACGTTGTTCTCAGGCCAGTCCTACTGCCCATCTCTCAACGTCCTAGAGAGCGGTGTCACAGCTGTCCCTTGCAACAGCATGGGCCCTCTGCATGCAGCCCAAGCTCCGGTTGAACAGCAAGGTTTTCTGACTGAAAACTGAACAACATTCCTGGTCCCTAACAGGTTTTGCACAGAGGAAGCTTGCATTGCCACTGCCCGTGTGGTGGCTGTTAAAAAGGTAAAAGGACTTTTAGCTGAATGCCAGGCTAGTGCTATATTCATTTTACCTATCTTTTAAAAAATACACAGATGAAAGGGGCAGAAGCTAAATTCCCAAGCAAGTTAATTTAGGAACTTTGAGAACGAGAACAAATAAATGCATTATGCACAAGCACACAACACCTTTTTGTGTTCAGCAAATGTGTGCCATTTCATAATAGTAGTAGCGCTGCATTGTTCGGCAGGGCTGGTATCTCCTCAGGAGGATATCTAACCAACATTTTTAGAAACAATTTGCATGATGGGTCTCACGTGGCACCAAGCGTTGGCACTTCAAAGCACTGAGGGCTTCAGCTTTTGCCAGAGCTGACTCACAGGTCAGTCTCTTCTGTCAAACGCAGCGGCAAGTGACTTTAATCACTCTGGCACTCTGGCTGTCATTTGGATGCGGAGAGCTGGCCTGGCTCAGAAATCAAGCACTACACACAGCGAGACTGCACAGCCCGCAAGTGTTATCTGGACAAAGAAAGGTTTCTGTTCATGAACAGACTGCATGATCTAGATAGGAAGCCTGGCCCAGCGCATAGCTAGACTGTATGTCTGAAGAGAAACCTTGCCCAGCCCGTCCAACAACGATGCGATCTAATGAGAGAGCTGGCTCAGGGCAAAACCAGCTATGAAGAGGGCAGACAGAGCATGATGACACACTAGCCAGGATGGAGGCCTTGACCACTTTCTGGCTAAAATACACCTTCTCCAGAGACATAGCCCCCACATTCAGCCTGCGGCCCATTGCAAGTAATCCACGCTGAAATTAAGATTGTTCCATGAACTGGCCAACCCCTGGAGGGAGTAAACTGGCTCAGTCTATGGTGAGATATTACTGTCTATTTAGTGTTTTTGTGCTGTAAATAAGAACACCAGTTGAAAAGGAGAACTAGTGGCTAGCAATACTTGACCTTGTTATGCAAGGATGCTGGGAGCCCACAGACATATTGCACCACAACAGAGAGAATCCTTCTCCTTTCTCTGAGATCTAGCTGAGGAAGTGAGAGAGCCTGGAGATTTACTTCACAGAACACATCCTTTCAGAGCAAGCTGAAAGAGTTAAAGACCTGATCCCTCACCCTACAGGTTCACGCCACGCTACCCATCCAAGAAAGAGGGGACCCCTTCGTTCAGTGCAATGTGCAAGACAGTCCATACGCCGGTGTGCACTGCCCACTGCAGAGTACTCAGCCTAATAAATCCTGTTCTCCACAGCAGAGAGCCAATGCTATTTGCTTCCATAAATCCTGTCGAGCGCAAAATTCCCACCAGACTCATCAGCCCAAATCCTGCAGGCGGGCTGGGGTTGGGCAGCAGCACCCCTTGGCGGCTGCGGACAGGGATGGCTGTGGATGTGCTGCAAGGCTGGAGGGGCAGGGGGAGGTGAGGAAAACTTGGCAGACTTTGTTTGGACGGATCGTTTTCTCTTGGCCCCTGAGATCCTGCTGTGTGGTCCCAGTGGTGGCAGGGGGGGGGCGGGATGATCTTCCACACTCTCTACAAGGTTCACTTTGACTCTCCTGCTGCAGGGGCTGTGCGGCTCCAGTAACGTGCACCCTTCCTGGTGAAGGAGGGACAGCACGTTCGGCAAATACATACATCTAAACTGCAGGACATAAAAGCTTTCCCCCTTTCTGCGTTTGCTTTTTTCTGAAATAAAAGAAAAGAAAAAAGAATTGCCAGCTCTGCTTCCCACATCCTCTTTATCTTCTTTCCTTTCTATCCTTTTATTTTTGCCCTGTGGCACATGTTGTAACTTCCACATACTCTCCATGACATCCCTTCTTTCCTGTGCTGATCCCACCAACCACCTCCTGTCTGCTCTCTGTCGCGCTCTCCTGCTGCCCAGTAAAATCATTCACACACTCATCCCCCCACCTCCCTCTACCACTCGTCCCTTTGACTGCATCAAGTAAATACTGACACCCCACCCCCCAGGTTCTCAGAGGGGAGGACTGCTTGAAAACAGAGAGAAACAAGCAGTTTCTGTGTATGCATGCACATATTGTTGGGGAGAGAAAAGAGGAAGCTATAATGTCTCTCTCTGGTTTAGCTAGAAAAATCTCTAACGACGAGAGTTTGTAGCAGTTTGTCTTCCTCATCCCCTTCTCCTTCCTAAGCCGTTTCCTCTAGACCATTTTCGTCCCTTTCGTCCATACTCCCTTCGTTCCTGCAGAACGGCTACTGTCTTTTTCCCTTCAACATGTTCCTCTCCTGCCCCTCATCTAAATATGTTGCATAATCCTACATACATAAAGACAACCTTACGCGCAGCCTTTTCTCTCACATCTCACTCCTTTTCTTGCCGCTTTTCTCCTTAGCACTCTGCCCTGAAATATCACTCGTCCTCTATCACAAACAAGGCTGCTTGTATTGCTTTGTTGCTGGAGCAGTTGCTACTCACAAGCTCAGCTACCTACCCGAGGCGAGTGGCTGTACATCAAGAAAGGCTTTTTTTTTTTTTTTTTTCTTTTTTCTTTTTGGTTATAGCAAAACACAGGTTTCTCCTGAGCATCGCCAGGAGAGTGCAGCAGCGGAAGGCTCCATGTGTTGGTGCCCCGGAGGGAAAGCCAGGCTCTCGGCCCACACTCCGCAGGCAAGGGGAATACTGGAGGAAAAATTACTTTGTTCTGCCTGTACACAGCAGGACAGCATGTAAATGGTAGGGAATGGATGCACGGTGTGTTTTCCTTCCTGAATGCAGCCCGACAAAATGATTCATCTGGCCTGCTATAAGCTATGGGTGCTATGGGGCACCCGGGGGCAGATGGCAGTCACACCAAGTTAATTTGGGTTTCTCTGTCCTACATTGCTATATACGTACTGTAGACATACTTGGTAAGATTGAAGTGGGAAAACGGAAATCTCCCATCTTTTAGGAAAAGTTGAATCAAGTCTCGGCATTACCCCAGGTAAAAACATTTCTTTGTACAACTCTTTATAAAGTGACTGAGCACACGGTGACTGATAACATGAGGTGTACCTCAGTATTTATTTCTGTAAGTAATGCACTGAAGGCCAGGAGGTTGTTCAACTAGCGAAACCAAGTCTTGCAGAAGAGAGGGTTTTGACATACGTCCTGCAGTTTGCAAGTGGCAAGACTTGCGCTATGCCTACTGGCAAATGATCCCGTGAGCTTCACAGTCCTGAAGAGTTTCAGGCAGACCCTGCTCGTTGTAACTAAATGGCAAGGCTTTCCTCAGGGAAGGCGGGACGCAGACGCTCGCCACGACAGGGAACCAGCCTTTGAGATCGGTTTAGCAGCAGCCAGGGACAGCGGGGCCGATAGCGCCGCAAGCCGCCCTGCGGGCCTGACTGACCTCCCCGGCCAGGCAAACCAGGGGCAACGCCAGGCGACGGCTGCTGGGCGCCGCG